CCCTCTGCCAGCCGCGGCGAGGCGCCGGCGCCTTAAAGCGCGCCGCGGGGGAAGCGAGATGCCCGCTGGAGGTGGCCGGCTGCCGACATGCTGCATTGGAATGAGGAAGTGGAGTGGGGAGGGGAGGGACTGAGCGCGGAGCTGCCTCCTGCCGCGGCTCTGCTGCGAGGAGGCGCCGCGGCACATGGAGCAGGAGAGGACTGGAAGAGCTGTCTGCAGCCAGCCCCGGCCAGAGCAGGTACCGTACTGCGCTCCAGAGGGGCACCTGCGGAGCCGGGCAGGGCCTTGCCCCGTGCCGCCCGCCGCCTGCTCCTGGGCTGACACCTGTCTGAGCGCTTTGCTGGGCGGCAAACTTTTTTGGTTTGGGTTTGGGAGGGGGAGGCGAGAGCTCACTTTGCTGAGCAGAGGGGGCGAGGGCTGAAGGGGAGCGGTGGGGAGCGAACTTTTCTGCTCAGGGCAGGAGATCGCTGCTCCTGTGTGCGAGGGGCCAGCGCTGATGTCCTAGGGTGGTCCTGCGTGCTGGGACCAGCGGATGGCCACAAGCAGCGGAGACCAAGTTTGTCATGTACAGATGCCCAGATAAGAAAGGGCTGTTTCTTTCCTAGCAGTTGCATGTTTTGTGGGTTCGCCTCGTTGTTCTGTCTGTGGTCTGCTCACAGCGGATCCGCTTTTCGCCAGGGATCCTTATCCCCCCCTCCTCCTCAGGTAGCGTTAGCTGAGCTCCTCAAGAGTCAGTGGGGTTCAGTCCTCTAGGTGAACAATGTAAACTCCCGAGAAATGACACAAGAAAAACCTCAAACTAATACAAGGAAGGCTCGTCTGTTGTCTTTTCTTTTCTTCTAAAGAAATAAGGAACAGTGTGAGCTGAGCAATTTCAGGAAGTTGTGAAAGAAAACTGGGAGATTACAGAGGCTAAACAAGTGGTCTCTCTCTCTCTCTCTCTCTTTTTTAACCAGTGTCCCTTCTTATCCTGTCCTATGCATGAGAGCAGAAAATAGATGTGTTGAAATGGAGGCTGCACGAAAGTGGCCCACGATACTTTTGAACTATTCCCTACAGCTTTGAGAAAGAGGCAAAACCAGGGAGGATTTTAAAACAATTATTCCTTATTTCAAAAATATCAGAAGGGTGGGGAAAGTAATAAGGCAGTCAAAACATAATCCCCTTTCGGGAGCACGCTGATTCAATGTCTGTGAATCACCCCCATCACCTAAATTCATTCAAAGCCCAAGTTCAAGTAGTTTTCTCCATAAATTGCAGAAAGAAGGCAGCAGAGTGAATAAAACCATCAGAGACTTGTAAAATTAGCAGTAGCAGAATACAATTATTTGAAGATCTGGATATTTTATCTTACACATAAAAGCCTGTGCAGGTGTTTTCTTCACTGTGGTGCTGGCTTTCTCGATTAAAGATTTGTTCTTTCTCTCTACACAGCAAAACTTGGTATTTGACTTTAAATTTAGTATAGAAAAACTTCACACTTCAGATATCATTTATAAGGAAGCTTCTAATTTTGTTTTAATTGAAGAAATCTGTATTACTGTTGGACAATGTTCTACAAAGTACAGCAAGACTCCCCTGCACTGCACAAAGCATCCTCTTAGGATTTGGAGAGTTTTGATCTATGATAGCATTGTGGTTATTTTCTGTCTACAAATAACTCTCAAAACTACAATCCTAATGTCGTTTATAATCTCAAGCCCTTAGATGAAACCTGTGTTTTGTAGAATATAATACATTTTAAAACGTTATGGTCTATTGACCAAACATAGCTAATAATTTGGAGAGGAAAATATTTTTTTAAAAAAATGTGTAAATGAGTGTGCTAGGAATTTATACACATTAATGGAACTGGAATTTTCAGAAGGGTAAGTGCAAAGATGGAGAACAGAAACAAGACTGAGGACTTTCCAGTTCTGTTTTGTCCATAGGACAGTTTTAAACATGTCACAATAGCTGCATGTCACTTAGGTTGTATCCATATGTACCCACCATTATATAATCCTAGAAAAACACCCCCAAAAAAGTAGCCTAAAAGAGAGACTGTATTTGTTTCATGTGTTTGTGACTACTTCCACCTGTGCACGTTTTGTAGCTATTAATTCATTTTTTAACTAAAAGACAAACTAAGGGCCAGATTCTGCAAAGTTCCGCATATACATCCATTAACATCAATGCACTGCTCGTGTGAATTGTAACTCATGCAGGATTATGCTTTACATAAATATTGATGCTTATTAGACACAATAGCAGTCTATGAAAAGTTAACATAGTACATTTAACCTCTTTGCCCAAAGCCTGTCCAAATAATCTAAAAGGTTTGGCTTGCATCAGTTAAAACAAGGAAATTACATGAGTTAGATTGCTACTCTCAGCTTGTCCTCAACTTCCCTCTTTATGTCCTAGTATTTCAGGGATCTACTAATGTGAGGAGTTCATGAAACACTTCTGCTGAAGTGTCTAGACAAAATATGAATTAAGGATGGAGTGGCATTCTTAAATTGAAATTCCATTGCGTCTATTGAGCTACTTGTATTCCCACTTCAAAAAAATTTTTTTTGTTTGTTTTTTGCTTTTAATGTAGAATTAAGAAAAATGTCTATTGAGCCACTTGTATTCCCACTTTAAAAAAAATTTTTTTGTTTGTTTTTTGCTTTTAATGTAGAATTAAGAAAAAGACGGGAAAAATGCTATTACTACTGTATTGTATATGAGCCAACTTTAGGCCTGGTATTCCTGCTCATGGGGCTGATATGTACCACAATGTATTACACTTCTTGAAAAGTAGTTACTAATTACACATAGGAGTTGCTTTTCAAATATAAATTGTTCGCTTACATGATTTGTTTTGTTTTTAATTCATGAGTGCACGTCAAAAAGCCAAATATGCTCATGTTAAGAACCACGTGCATGTGCATATAATTAGAAATGAAAAAAAAAAAAACCCTCAACACTTGATCATGGACTGAATACTTGAACTTTTAGCTTGAAGCAAACTTGAATGCCCAAGTATTAAAACCCTTTCCTCTCAAAGAAGTGCTCATGGACCCAAGAAATTGGAAGAAAACTCCATGCTCTCAGAGCAAAGTCTCTGTTGCCATACTCTCCTTTTAGAAACCACAGTCCTTATTAGCAGAACTGAGTGGGGGAAGACTCAGCTAGCTTCTACTTCCCTTTGCACATGATCCTTGTTCTAGTAATATCTAGTCCCAGAGCTGGGGCCAGCTGTAAAAATCTTGTAATAAATGTTAACTTTTGAGAATCTTGGAATAGTTAGCTTTTTTATTGGTAACATTTAGTTAAATATTTCTTTTTTACTGAATGGAGTAAATAAAAATAAAAATATAAAACTATAATAAAAGGTAAAATTCAAAATCTAAGAACCCGCTTTTTGAGTGAAATCCTGACTCTGTTCAAGTCAGTGGGAGTTTGGTATTCGCTTTAATGGAGCCAGGATTTCAACTCTAATGCAATAATATCTGGAGTCATGACCTCTCTTGAGTATTTTTCTTCCAGTGGAGCTGCTTTGGAGTCACAGACATAGTGTGAAATTTTGGAAACAGTTCACATTTATTGCAGAATTAACTGTTGGTACCTGTTAAACACTGATATTGAAGGAATTAACACAGCTCAGGATTTACATATGCTTGCTTATTTCCATCATATGCTCATATTAACTGCAGAAATGTAAATGTTGTTCTTTGGTGCCTTATTTATCCCATATAATGTTTGCTGAGTGGTCACATATCCTGAAGAACACTAAGTAAGATGAGGAATTTTGTAGCATGTTGCATGTGCAGAAATTGCAATGGATTAAAGACCTGTCATACATCCGGTACAGACTAAATGCCATTGCTAACTTTGGACATATTGATAGAATGCTTCGTTGTTTAAGTGTATGTATGATATTAATACAGCATGATAACAAAATGCAGCGATGCCCATTCCAATATTACTAAGGCAGTTTTTTATTCTGTTGTGGGCTTTAAAGACTGCTTCACTTGTCACTTCAACTGAGTAACTACACTAAAGTCAAGTATGAGAGGAAAATCAACCTGTGATGTTTTAAAATAGTGGTAGACGGTTGTATTCAGTATTGCTCATCAAATACATTGGATAACTCAAAAATGATGCTACAAATCTTTCCAGATATTTGAACTTAGAGGTACTACTTATACCAACAGTTTGCACATTCAAGAGGTAAGAAAAACGTTTTAAACAACACAAAGCACAGAATAAGTTAAATGTCCTATACTGGCAGTTTGCATCTGGCAACTTTAAACAAAATCTAGAGGGTGTTTGTCACTGGTCCAATCCTGTATCTTTTTGGTAGGCAAACCTTCCACTAATGAGTCTCATATTTGTAAGGATTATGGGATTGGGCTCAGGGGTAACTTCTACTGTCAGGTTTTCTTGATGTTCACCAATGTTCTTTAATGCATTTTCAAGTCAATTTTTTCCCTACTACACAGTGTAGGAGAAATAAAAACAAATGTAAAATAAATAGTACCATGTCAAGCAGCTTTTTACATTGGCAACTTTAGATGGTAAATTAGCAGCTGCACATGTGCAAATGCTGATGTGCTGCAAATATTTTAAGGTGTTCCCACATAATTTCCACTCTTAAGTCTGTGATAAAACCCTGTGTTCCAGGGAAGCATGTCATCATAGAGAGAAGGTTGGGAAACTAATTCTTTTTCATTTTATACTCATCTCTTATACGGGGAGGAGACAGCATCCCTGGACAGTTACATTCATATTAAGTGCATTTTCTGGGAATGTTTAGAAAAATATAGAGTATATGTTCAGTCATTTGAAATGCAGACAGTGAGTATTCTTTAACAATCAAAAATAAGTCTGGGAGTTTAATTCTCTGGGAAACATATTGAAAATCCCTGCCACTTAGAGTACTTTTACACAGCAGCATTATTTTGGAATAACTAATGTTATTCCAAAATAGCATGGTGCTTGTCTACACTACAAACCTTTATTTTGAAATAATTTTGAGCTGCAGGACTTCTTACTCCGACTCATGGTAATCCTCGTTTCACGAGGAGTAAGGGAAATTGAAGGAAGAGTGCTCATCCTTTGACTTCCTGCTGTGCAGACAAATCCAAAAGCTGAATTTCAAGTTAAGCTACACAATTGATATAGCTGAAGTTGCATAGCTTAATTCGACTTTAACTCTGCTGTGTACATACCCTTAGTGAGCATCCAAATGGTAAAACATTTTCTCTT